AATTGACATGAAAATAAATTTGATATATCATTTATTTAATGGAAATTAGAATGTGCTAAGCACAAATTACTGAGTCAATGAGTGATCCACACTTCTCTCTCCCAATCATATGAGCTTGCTGTTTCAGTTGTATGGTCTAAAGCAAATAAAGTCTTGCATGAAATTAGGTAGAATAAATCTCCAGAATCTTTCACACATTGCCAGAGAAAGTGAAACAAGACAAGGTGCTGGTCAGCCTTATGCACTGCTTTCCCCAGGTCCAGAGAGGGCTGGAACTGATGTGATAGGGGAAATAGGGGACAAGTCTTACTTGCAGGACTGCAGGAGGTCCCTTACCCTCCCCATTTTCATTACATGCTTCCCAATTGGAAAAACAGCTTCAAGCATAAGACTTTGCCACAGCCAAAGTTCTGAAAGACTCCTAACTGACAGCTCCTGGGCCTCTGAAGCCCACAACATTGGGCATTCGCTCTAATTCTTATCTGAAAAAATGTTGCAAGGAGCAAAGAAAGGCCCTATTTTGCTAGGGAACCTCATCATTTGTATCCACTGCAGATCACTTCTAGTTTTATAGCAAAACCAAACAAAACATCCAAGAAGAGAAAAGTGCTAAAATGGAAAGATCCAAATGATATACAAGTAAGCTGAGGCACTTAACTGAGGACCGAGAAGTATTTAATGCATTCTGGATAAGCATATTTACATTTTTCATCAAAACTACCAAATGTGATTTTCTCTATGCAACTAGCAGTTACAAAAGTGCGTATTTATCTTCATCTCTTCTCTTCCCCAGTAGCCTTTTCTGCTTTATTTAATATTATTTTTCTCTGCTCAAATTGGGTAGAGCTCTGCAGCACCATCCTCCTGCACTCACTGACTTCAGGAATAACAGGTCAGAACAGAGATCACCGACGTGTCGGTGACTTCAATTCTATGCACAGCTCTGGGCAATGCATAATACAAGGCCCTGATCCTAAGTAAGGCCTCGGGGAACAGTGCTAACACAGGAAGGTAACATCAGCAACCTGGAAGGAAAGCAAAAAGGCATGCGTTCTCAGCAGCAATGCACCCGACGTGGATTTACAGGAACTTAATACAAAATCATTTCAGAAATAGCGTACTGCATTAGTCCTCCTTAGAGGAGATGACATATTACTGCATCTTGCTTTGCAGACCTGTAATAATACAGAAAGAAACCCTTTATCACAATTAACAGAAGTCACATAATTTGAATAAATGAAGTGTGACAAGTCAGGGTTTAATATTTTTGAAGACTGAAGCACACTGATCTACAGCAGCACTGTAGCAGGTACTGAAGGGTATGATAGAGTTTTTGGAGACAGTGTATTTCTGGAAATGAAATCCCAACATACAGAGTTGAAGAATTAAAAGATTTTAAGCAAAACACAACTCATTTCAAGTAGCTTTTACAAAGTTACAAAATGTTGGTGATAAATGTGTCAGAATCTTATTTTTCTAACTGTGGTTAGAAATGGATTTCCAAGTGTGGGTTTAATTACTTTTGAGATACAGAAGCTTTAACATGACGAACAACAAGGAAAAAAGGAATGTAATAATAGTAATGCCTTGGTCTGATTTTGGGTGTCTCTTGTAGAGATGTCTTTATCTGCTTTGGTACCATTACTAGCAAAACATGCTGTTCCCCCTCAATGGGACAGCACTGTAGAGCAGGTACAAAGAAATCCATTTCTGAAGAGGTGCAGTGTAAGACCAGGTTCACTCTGTTTAGAGCAGGAGGCTGAACCTGATCTCCACAGGTCCCTTGCACCCAGCAGGTCTGATTATATGACTTAAAATCAAGTATGACACACACGTAACTCGCTGTGTGCAAGACCAGGAAGCAACACTTAGCCCTGGACTATGTATGCATCCCAGTCGTCCCTCGCCTCCAAGGGGAAGGCAGGGGATGCATGGAACCAGCAGCCAGGATAGGTTTTTATTTCTATTTGCCAGTTGCAGATAGAAATGCCAGACTGTGCAACTTCAGAGACAAAATGCTTGCACTTAAAATATTTACTGTAGACAGAAGGCAGTGGTATCACCCATGATACCTAATTATTTTGCTGTTCATTCTTGGAGAAAATAATTAAAACAAAGCAAAACACTCACTTCCTATTTTCCTCAGAGATTTTTAGGTTTTCCCATACCAGGTCTGGAAGTCTTTGTGCTCCCTCCCCCATAGCTTTCTAAAGCCAGTGCCTCTTCCTCCCTTGGCAATTCTTCCCTGAAAACCTGTACTTCCCTTGGACCTCTCTACTTCCTGATCAGTGAAGTTTGTAGAGTCAGATGTGGCACAGCACAAAAAACAGTTTGGAGTTCATTGTTTAAAGTTACTATATCCCTTGGGTGTGCAATAAGTCAAGCTAGTTTTATATCCACATATATGGCAACACTGGAGCATTATCTCACAAAATGTTTGTGTTCCCTATGTAGCGTTGTCCTTTTTACTGTGCAAAGAGACACCTCAACTTATATAATGAAATTTCATAAATTAGCAGAATCAAAAAGGAACATTTTAGATCAGCGATGCAAGTTTCACACACATGACAGAATAAATGTGAAAAAGACAATACCTCATCCAGCTCCTGAAGTGATTTGTGGATCCCATCAGCCCCATCCAGTTAGAGACAGCAAAAGATAAAAGGGAAAAAAGGGAAACATAGGACAGAAGTAGGGTATGGTCAATTGAGAAAATAACAGAATTTTGTTTTTAAATGACAGTTTACCAAGAACAAAACAACCTGGCTTTTAAAACAAAACTAGCCAATAAAAAGTACAATATCATGATGTATTTAAGACAGCATTTTGCTTGACACACTACTTTTTTTTTTTTTAATATTTCAGTTGCTTGGTAAACAGAAGAAAACATAAGAGATCAATATAAGAGTATTTAAGGTAACTGCACAATAAAATTTCTAGTTACTAAAATTCCAGGTGAAAAAAAGTGCAATGCAATATTAGAATAGACTGAAGTGTAACAGCAAGGATAATTTGATTGCAGTATTCAACATCTAATTCAGAGTTAGAAGGCTTTGATTATGATTGGATAATCGACATACAAACTTGGGTAAAACATTTTTGGTAAACATCACAGTTATCACAGCATAAAACAGAGAAAATAAAACTCCAAAGCAAAGGCAAACATATTATATGCTCACTTATGTGTAAAACTGCAATTATGTTCTAGTTTCAGGGAGCATTAGTTTTGCAGGCACCTCAAAAACACAACAGGCTGGTGGCCTCAGTGCGTCTGCAGCTTCACTTGGCACCACTTTGTGCTGCAGAGGCTCTATGTAAGGAATAGGAGGTGTCACTGTAAGACTAATGAAGCAAATGTGTCACATTAAGATGCGGACAAAATACTCGTTGTTTAAGAAAGCAGCAGGCTTTACTTAATGGTCTCCTTTATTCTGTATCAAGCTGGTGAAATAAAACGATGACATTACAAATGCTAGGCCAATTACTCGAGTTTAAGGAGTGGTTAACGATCAGCATGAGGATGCACATTCTAGGGCAGAATGCAATTTTTGGCATATAGTTCTCATAACAAGGGAGTTCTCCAGCAGAAGCCAAAGTACTAAAGACTACAGTTTGTAATACTGTCCTGCTAGTATCCTGTAGCCTGGCTCTGGGAACACTACCGAAAATAAAATAAATCAGCTGCAACTGTTGCAGTAATAGGCACCTCAGAAACACTCGAGGTCACTGCTCCCACTCTGCCATCCTCACATTTAAAACATGCAGGTAGGAAACAGCAGGTATGGAGCTGAAAACTGTCCACCAAGAGCGAAGTTTAGTCGTTAACTAACTTCACCCACAGCACAAGAGAGGAGCAGCTTCCAACCCCTGCCTGCTTTGCTCGCATTTGAACCAGCATCCTAGAAAACAGCTTCAATTAATGCTGACAAATACTGTAAACAAGTTTTTTTTTATGCAGGAACTAAACCTTACTGCACTCCTTGTTGAATCTGAGTGTAGCTTCACTGCTCGGTAGTGTGAAATCTGCATTTTAACTACCGCAAACTTTCTAAGTCATATTAATATTATGAATACCACCCAAAAATGATGCTATTCTTGGCAAAAACATGTTAAGAAGAAAGTGGTAAAACAAAACATACATAATACACATTACTTGTTGTGACCCTTGCTGTTCTGCAAATGCAATTCAATACATAGCTAATATAAAGGCAGGTTTAGCAAAGTTAACAATTAACAAAGTTTGCTCCATAGCAACTCATCAGTTGAAATAAAGTACTGAGCACAAACCACTGCTTTTTCTAACAACAAGAAAATCAGTAGGGCAAAGGGATGGAGAAAGAGGAATGGGCCAGCAGACACTTCCTGCTGCAAATAACTGAGAAGGCTGCACAGAGAGTGGAAACGACTGGTCGCTCTGCACTGGGGGGTGTTTCTGTTACCAACTAGAAAAATCAGCTGAGCTTGGCAGCCAAGGGGAAAGTCTCATCACTGAAATCCAACCCTTAGCATCCTTCAAGCTGCTGCTTTCACAAAAGCCTCCTTGCACACATTTTGAGGAGAATGATTTTGAAATTGGTTTCAGAGCAACCTTCAAGTCCTAAGTTTTCCATCTCAGCTCAAAAATTAAACTAGCTTAAAAATTTAGAAAAAGTTGCATAAAATCAACCACCACTGAACAATCAGCTTTGAAGTTTCTGCAATGAAGAACCAAATTAGAATCTACTAGGCTCTTCCCTTCACAGACAACTTGCAATATTACTTTTGGTGGAGGAGAAAGGATAAAGAAGAGGGGAACCACAACAAGCTATGGTGAAATTCAAGCACCAGGGTTAATCCACTCCACCGCAATTAACAGAGCCCGCAGCACAGTGAAGAGAAGAGGTCTGCCCCCCAAAACGACTTTTTTCTTTCATTTGTGAGAGAGATAAAATAGTGTCACACAACACTGCAATGCCCAGCGGCAGGAAAAAGCTATAGGATGAATAGCCGTGTTATCCATGAAGTTAGCAGAGAGGAGCATGGAGGCAGATCTCTTCTATTCATTTTATGGGAAGTAGCAGGGGAAAGAAAGGCAGGGGCAGAATGGGGAGGGAAGGAGGGACGAAGGGAGGTAGGAGACGGTAGGAAGATGAAAGCTTGAACGGCAGGAAGGAGAGGAAAGGGGAGAAAATGAACAGAAAGAAAAGGGAGGGAGCAGGGTGGGGGTGAGGAAAGAGCGGGGGGAAAGGAAGCAGGAAAGAGAGAATGGAAGAAGGAGGGTTGGGAGAACAGGGAGGGAAAGGAGGCAGGAAGGGAGGACAGAAAGGGAGGCAGAGAGGGGACAAGAAAGGGGGACAAGGTGGGGAAAAGATGAAGGAGAGCAGGGAAAGGGGTTGGATGGAGGGGAGTACGGAAGAGAGGATGAGGGCCAGAGA